ATTTGTTAATATTAAGAAAAGGTAAAACAAATTTTCACAACAAAATAATGAAAAAGTAACAATTGTTGATAAATTACACAACATTATCTTTAGTCACTCAAGTACAAAATATGGGCATAAAAATTACTTCAATCAATATTAGCACAACCTTTCCTATTCAGTGAACTAAGTGACACTAATGATATAACTAACTTGCATTTTTTTTCTTTTCCCTTCTATCCTTTCTCTTTTCCCCTATCTTAGTTTCTTCTTTTTATTGAACAGTTTCCTTCCATTTCACAGTGACTATTGTACTGCTGTAATAAATTATTAGAAACCTAATGACTTAACACAAATTTGTTACCTTAAAATTTTGGAGGTCTGAAGTCAAACTAGCTCTAAGACTAAAATCAGTTGTTGGCAGGGCTGTATTTTTTGGAGGCTCTGGAAGACACTCTTTCCCTCTTTCAGCTTCTGGAGACTTCCCCAAAGGTTTGTGGCCCTCTTCTATCTGCAAAGCCAGCAATGTCCAGTGATATCTTTGTCATATCACATGAGTAATACACTGTTTCTTCTGCCTCTGAGCTCTTTCACTTTTAAAGTTGCCTGTGGTTATACTAGGCCCACCTGTATATTCTCTTGTCTTCAGGTCAACTGATTAGTATTCATAATCATTACATTTGCTGCCTTAATTCACCTTTGCCACATAATGTGACATATTCACAGATTATAAGAATAATGATTTAGATGTCTTTGGGAGGCTGTGTCTGTTCAGCTTTGTATTGATATTTTCCTTTCTTCTGTAACTGCTTATATCCATAAACCCTTAATCAGAGAAGTAGTTATTCTGAACATTGTTACAGCTACTGTTTTTCATCCTGTTTCACTGTGTTGTAGAAGGAATACTAGATTAACATTCAGGGGACTGGAGCTCTGATTCAAACTTTGTCAGTAATTTGATTTGTATCCTTTAGTCTCTCTATGTTGCAGTTTTCCCTTTGTGTACAGTACTTGGGATAATGTAACAGTCCATTTGCCATGCTCATGTGACAGAGATTCAAAGATGAACTTACTCCAAAATAATATAACATTTTTATTTCTGTATAGGTAGTAAGTTATAACTTTGTTATTTCTTTTGTACCTTGAACAAATGATGAAACAAGTCCAGTAATTTCTGAATGTGTCCTTTACTTTCTCCCCTCCACTATTCTTTTTTTTTTTTTTAACTTTTCTATAAATACTGTGTGCTTATATCATAGTAAGTCAGGTAATATTTTGTAGATCAGTTTTCAGGACCAGAGTACTAAATTTTATGAGCTGTTATCTCTCACTTTGGGAAAGTTAGTTGAATAGTTTTTTGAAAGCTAGTTATATATATGAAGGGACATTCAGGTTTCATTTATGCCTTACAAATAACAAAGTAGATTATGTATTGCTAAAAATCCTAAAATGTTTATGATTTATAACTCAAAATTATGTACTCTGATTAACCTGTAAACTTTTCTTTGGTTTGTAGTAGATATATAAGAATGAATTATTCTAAGCCTTTTACTTACTATTATTATTTAATCAAACGTTTCTTAACTAGTCTTACAATATGAATTTTCCCATTGACTATAGTAACTATTGCCCATGGGACTACTAGGATAACTATTTTATTTTTTTGCAATAAAAACACAATATGAGCCTTTTGTATTATTTTTAATTTTCCAGTAGTCAAATGAGGAAAAGGTAAAAATAAGGGGGTGAAATTCATATATTTTAATCAAATGTGTCCAAAATATTATTTCAGCATGTAATCACTGTAAGGAATTATTGAGACACATTTTACATTGTTTTTGTATTAAATCTTTGAAATTGCATGTGTTTTTACACTTAAAGCATATCTCAATTTGGATTAGCCACATTCCAAGAACTTTATAGCCACGTGTGGTAGGTAGCCACTCATTGGACAGTTTGTTTCCTTGGTTGTTTTGCAACTCAGCTTTCTCATGAACCCAAGAAAAATTATAATTTCATGATCAGCCAATAGTTTCTCTTACACAGTTGAGGTACCTTGAATTTAAAGCCTTTCCTCTTAACTACTATATTTAATCCCTCTATCAGGGGTCCTCCCTTCTCGCCTTCTCCATCTTCCTCTGGTCCTCACTTCCATCTTTTGCCATTTTATCCTCTTCTGTATTTCCACCTTTTATGCCACATATTCTTCTCTCTTCTCTATCAGACTCCTTCAGCATGTTTTGCTGAGATTCTCAGGAGAGAAAGTACTGTTAACAATATAACTTTCTACCTCCACAAACACGCAAAAGCCTTACCACTAGAAATACAACTTTCTACCATTAGTATACACACTACAGAGAGCAAAAAGTTTTTTCTCCTCTTAGGAAATGTTAGGAATTCCTGATTATAATGGAGTCTGTGTTGTAAGGTTATGTGACTTTTTGGCTTTATATCTGTTCCATGCAATGTAGAGTAAGAATTATGATTATATATATGCTATGCTAACAGTTTGTTTTCATCAGTCTTAGAAGCCAAAGAGCTCAGTACTTACATCAGAAATGAGATGAAAACATACAAGTTCAATTTTGATACAGGTTTGAGCAAGGAATCATAAGTTTTCTTACCAGACCATTTTGTCTTTTCCTGTTCTTGGTACTTATATTTTAGTATGCATTATGGTTCTCACAATGCATTATTTAGCCCCAATTTTTAAATGTACAAATATGCAGTACATTCTTTGATTTTTGCAGAGTAACTCAAAGAGGTCATTGTCAGCAATCAAAAAATGAAATAAAGAAATTTCCTTTCACAACATCAAAAAGAATAACATACTTAGAAATAAATTTAATGAAAGAAGTGTAAAAACTTATACTTTGAGAACTGCAAAACATTATTGAAAGTAGTCAAAGAATACCTAAATAAATAGACACCCTGTATTGATTTATTGTAAAACTAAACTATTGTTAAGATATTTTAAAATTGGGTAGCATGTTCAGTGCAGTTCCAGCTGCATATTTTTTGCAGAAATTCACAAGCTGATCTTCAAATTCTATGAAAATGTAAGAGACCCCAAAGTGCCAAAATGTTTTGAAAAGAAAAATAAAGATTACCCAAACTTTCAGATTTCAAAACTTAACATAAACCTACAATAATCAAGATAATGTGGCACTGACATAAGGATGGAAGTCTAAGTTACTACAGACTCTTCTTGTGTGGGACTCTGAGTTATTCTAAGCTGTTAACACTAGGCTACCCTAGATTTAAGAATTTGGTAAATCTAACTGATATATTCGAGTCTACTAATGTAGTAGGTACTTCTTCTGGGGTCTGCCAAAAGGACTGTATATGTTCTGTTTCTCTGCAGAAAGAACTTGTCTGTGGATTTCAGTTGCCTTGGTGGTTTTGCAGACAGCTTCCTTATGCACTCAACAAAAATTACAAGTTCATAGGTTAGCTGGTCTTTCCTCTTGTTATGGTTTCTTCATCTTAAATGAAGTAAAACTGATGTGGTGCTTAGTATGTAATACTGTTAGCACTTTTAGTCTGTTACTTTGAATACCAAGCAGTGTGCTACTGTATCATCTCATTTAGTCTGCATATTTGTTTATGGAGTTTTGGTACTGTTATTGTTCTCATTTTTAAAGATGTAAAACTGATGCTTAGTGAGAAAAAGAACTAAAAGCAAGGGAATAAGCAAACATTTTTATTGCTATTACCTAAATCACTTTCTAGGGTCTCCCTCCCTAGTGAAACAATTAAATTCATTTTTACTTCTTCAAGGAGACTAGAGGCATCTCTGGCATCGTAAGTCTTCACTTTCCTTATTTGGTAAGAAATAAGGCATAGTAGAGTGATAACTTGAAGGAATCTCATCGAAATTTTGTGTAACAGGATACTTTTAAGGATCTGGTAGCTTTGGGTGGTCAGTATTGCAGTAACAGTGACCATGGTTTTGCAGACACTTTCCTCTTTACCTTCTGCTTCCAGTATGAAATAGTTAATAGCCTTTGGGATGTCACTGTCTGTCTTTGTGTTAAGTGAGATAGTTTGAATTTTAAGTATTTTTCATTGCCATTAATTCTTTCCCTGTCTTATGTGGGTATTCCTTTCAATACTGATTCTAGAGACTTTTGAGTATAATTATTTGTACATATAGTACAACATAGTACATACATATAATATATAACATTGTCTAAACAAATTCTTGCATTAGCTGTCTTTTCACCCTTTTAGTACATGCAATGAAAGGTGAACTAAAACCCTTCTGTAAACTTTGGTTTATTTTTGTTTACAGTACTTCTAGAAAAAAAGGAACAGTGTGAACCTGATCAGTAAGCTGATCAGTTAAGATAAGCATTAATCCATCTTTTCACATGTCTTATATTCAGTTTCTAGATGCACCATTTGGAATTCCATTTGGAATTCATCATACCCCACAATGGATAGTCTGTTTTTCCCTCTCCCCTCCCTTCTCTTCCCCTTCTCCTTCTTTTCCTTCCCCTTCCCCCTCCTCTCCACTTCTTTTCCTGCCTTTCTTTCTCCCTTCTCTCTTTCCCCCTCCTTCCTTTCCCTTCCCTTCCCTCTTCTCTCTTCCCTCCCTCCCTCTTCTTTTCACCCTTCCTTCCTCCCTTGCTTCCTCTCCCTCCTTGCTCCCTGCTTTGTTCCAGGTACAGGGACTCAATCCAGAGTCTTTGCACATGTTAGGCAAGCGCTCTACCATGAACTTGCATAACTAGTCTATGATGAGTTTGTAATTTCTCACACGCTGGTTGATAGGTACAAGTTTAGTTTCAGGAATTTCCTATCTGCTGAAATTTAACACATTTTCAAAAATTGTACATGTGTAATATAAACTTAATAGCAAACACTGTGGTCATTGTTACATTCCTGAGCACCATTAATATAGTCAGTGTCAAAAGTTAAGAAATCTTTGGGAATGTGGAGACAGGGAATGGGATTGTTTATATATGTGAGAATATTTTATGGTTTAATTTATAGTCATTTACGTGCTTCCTCCCTAGTTATCAGTGAATATGAAGGACAAAGAAAACATCCAGGAACCCAGATTTGATTATTACAACCATGAAGTTCCTGATATTGACCTCAGTGAATGTGAGTTCCCACATGTCATTGAAATTTATGACTTCCCCCAAGAATTTCGTACAGAAGACCTTCTACGGGTTTTCTGCAGTTATCAGTAAGTATTTACAAGTAACTACAGATACTAGGAAAGGTGGAATGAAGTCTTCCAAGTAACATCTTTTGAGTAATCACTTTTTGTTTTCACACTTTGTTTTGATATTTCGTATTGTTTACTTATAGCATCAAGTTTATTACGTAGCCCAAGTTCATTAGAAATTTTCAATATCAAACTGCTCTCTGAATTACTTTAAAATGACACATATACTTTTTAGACCTCATTTAACTTTTCAAAGACTGTCATCAGTGATAAAGTCCTGAATCTGTTTGCATGGCACTGTTAGTCCATTTGTATTTATTGTCATTATTGTTATATTTAGATTTATAGCCAAATACATATTTTTGTATTTACCTGCTCTTTTCTCTAGCCTTTTGGATTTATTAGGTATTTTTTCTACTTTTTTTTTAAAGAAATGGTTATCAGCTTTTAGTGTTTACTCTAGAAATTATAAAACTCATTCTTGATTTTCTATGACTAAAGCTAATTTTTTTATTCTTTCTAAACACTATAGGGAGTTTTAGTTCCATTTCCTACCTCTCCTTTTCCCAACTTATAAACCTATGTACTATTGTTGCTGAGTGATTCTTGTTTTCTCTTTTTAAGTTTTATTTGATAATATTTTATATATCTTCACTGTTAAGCTAAGTCCGTTTTCTATACTTCCTTTACCCCCCCTCCTTTGGTGTTACTGCGAATCACGTATACCTTCTTGCATCTTATTCCTACTTTTTGAATTCGCATCTTGTATGGGGTGTATTTTTTGAAATTTAGCTTAGACACAATGTGCTAGAAACAAACTCAGTTTTGCTGTGATGATTTTATTTTAGCTTCACTGTTAAATAACATTTTTGCTTGCTATAAAATTTACATTATGCTAACAGGCTGGCACATGCCTATAATCCCAGCACTCGGGATACTGAGGCAGAAAGATCACTGCAAGTTAAGACCAGCCTAACCTACACAGAGAGTTCAAGACCAGCCTGAACTGTGTAACAAGACCCTGTCTCAAAAAACAGCAGAATTCTACATTGGCAGATATTTGTCTTTCAGAAACTTGAAGATATTCTACTGTTTTCTTGTCTCTTAATGATAAGTCAGCTGACAATCTGACAGTTTGTGACTTCTGATTATAATCTATCTTTTCTCTTTGGATAGAATAGTATATTGGTCAGGGGTTCTCTTAAAGGAACAGAACCAATAGAATACACACACACACACAAAGTGGGATTGAAAATACAGTGAGTATTTAAATTTAAAAATATTTTTATTACAGTAAAAGACATGTTACCATTAATCCACCTCAAAAATATTTCTCCCTGCTTCAAACACACACGTTCTGTTACTGCCTCTTTTGAAGCAGTTCTGTAAGTCTTCTTTTGTGTCTTTACTAGGTGTGATCAGATGTATGCTGTGAATGCTGCTGCCGAGTGCCATCCAGCAGAAAGGCAGGCTCATAAAAACGTGGTGATCCTCACCCACTTATTTACTAGATCTGGCACCATATGACTTCTGGCTCTTTCTCAATGTCAAGTGACTGAAAAGTAAATATTTTCAATTGATTCAAGACATTAGAGCAGTCATTACAACTCAAAATAGTCATGAAAGAAATCTTCCAGAACTGCATCAGAAAGTGGCAGTAAAAACATAATAAGTGTATGAATTATGGGAGTGATTCATGACAATATGTTTCTTTACCATAATACTTTTTTAAAAACTCGAGTATTACCTGTATTTTTTAATCACACACTCTGCATGTTTTCAAGGGGGAATTTATTAGATTGGCCTACAGAATCAGAGACTGGATAGTTCCATGGTAGAGAGATGCTGAATAGCTAGAGAAACTAGTAGCTGGTCAGTTCAAGGAGCTGGAAACCTCACAGTGAGAGAAATCATTAATGCAGCTCCAGCCCAAGACTGAAGGCCTGACAGCTGCCTGTAGAGTCACTGTCGTGAGTCCACGTAGAGAGGCTAAAGAAATGGAGAGTCTGATGTCAACAGGCAATGCTTAAGAAGAATCAAGCTTGCATGTGCTGGCTGGCTTTATCGTTCTTCCCCCTCCTGTTTCATCAAGGATTCTAGCCTGTTGTGTTTTATGGCTCACAGCTGGAGAAGGCTTTCCCCATGTTATCTGACCCACATGCTAATTGTCTCTGAAATTAGGTACAGTGCTTAGGTACACCTAAAAGTATACTTAATTAGTTTCTTAGGTATCTCGTGTTCCAGTCAAGTACACAATCAAGATTAACTGTTAGAAAAGCTCTAGAGAAGTTCTGGTTTTTGGTGTTCTGCATTTTCACTATGGGGAGGTTTTTTTTTTTTTCCTTGATTGAGATTTTCTGGGTTTACAAAATGAGTGGATTTGTGTTTTTCATGAATTTTTGAAAACTTAGATATCATCTTCAAATACTACTCTGTGGTCTATTCTCTTTCACTTTCTCTAAGATGCCACTTTGATGTGTGTTAGTTATGGCAGTTAATATCTGCCATAAGCAATTGTGTAATCTAGGTGAGGTACTCCAATTTATTACAGTTATGGTAGGACCCAGTACTTCAGGGCTTGTTCAGTATAAAATTCATAATAGATCTTTACAGTCAGTGAGATTAAATCCCAAATTAGAGTTACCTTTAATTGTCATAAATAATGACAATCTTTAAAACCAGGGATCATTTCGTTTGTGTGTAAAATTTTCTCAAAAATGATTAATTCTTATGAATTATTACTTCCCTTAGCTTTGTTTCTCCGCAGTCTTATCTGCAAGACCATTTTCTTTCAAATTCAAAAATGTTTTTAAAAGATAAGAATTTTAAAAGATTATGAACTCCCCAAGTCTAAAAGGCTCTTCAGAACCAGTCTAGGTCATTTCCCAAACATTTTGCAAACTGTCTTGTACTATAGACTTTTTTTTTTTTTTTTTTTTTTTTTTTTTGTCTTTTTCCTTTTTATCGGTACCAGGGATCGAACTCACGACTGCCTGCTTGCAAGGCAGGCGCTTATGCCGCTGAGCTAAATCCCCAGCCCCATAGACTTTTGCTATTGAATTTTTTCAGTCTTTAACCTCTGTGATCATTTTATGCTATGGTCAATCTTACGCTTGTTTTCAGGAAAGCCTGCTTTATACCTTTTTTGCTCAAAAGAATTTTTAAAGTATTTACTGTTAAAGAAGGAAGATATTTTAGTAATTGTCTTCTTTTTCATTATAATGTTTTATAAAATAATTTTTAAAAAGGTTATGGTGCAAAAACTTAGAATTACACCTGTCTGTTATAGTGAGTGCCTGTTTTCATTACCATCTTCATTAGCTTTAATAATCTTCCTGATAAACATTGCTTTTAATAATAAAAATGAGCATCATTCATTTATAATATATCCACCAAATGTTAACATCATGTTCTTGGCCTTTTTATGGGTGATCTCATTTCCATTTTTCACAACTATAGAAAGGAGGTACTCTGCCCATTTTTATGGTGAACAGACTTAGGCTTAAGAGAGTTCTTGGTCTTAATGTGGCAGAACTTTAACTCCATACATATCTGACCTTCAAATCTTTCCATAAATTCTGAGCAAGTTTAAGGTCCTACTAAAAAACAAAACAAAACTGTTATTTTACCATCTTGAGTCTTTGTGCTTACTATATAGTTCTCTTCCCAAAAAGGGTATTTTTCTAGTACTTAAATGTTCATTCTTTTGATACTTTCTAATCCTGCCTAGTATTTTTCTTATCATAATTTTTTATCCTTGAATGTTCTGATTTTTTCTGAATACGAATCTTTTCTATTTTCTTTTTTATAGGTAAGAAGGAGTAGATAAGCTTCTATGGTTACAGTTTTTCCCCTATTGACTTTTTTAAGAATTCAGATGACATCTTGGCTGTACAATACCTCTGGGTTTTTTTTGTTGCTGTTGTTTCTCTCAAGGGCAGAGTGATCTTCCCAGACTGCTGCTGCTTCCTGTATTCTTCTTCCCTCCTCTGCTTCCCTTTACATCTCTTTTCATTCCCTGTTCCATAAGAACATATTTTATAAATAGTGCAGTAAACACTTTGTCTCCCAAGGGACTTGTGAGGATTAATTAGTTGATGTCTATAAAATGTCTGGGAACGTAAAATACTCCCAGGTAATTCTTTCGGTAGCATTATTGCTTTTAAAATTCAGTGGTTTCTTCTGTCCTCCAAGCTGTTTTTGTGTCATCCCCATTCCACCTGTGCAATCTGTGAGTGTTTTTCCATCTCTTGAAATGCTATATAAGACTATTTGAAAGATGTGTCATAAAAATAAATTTTAAGAAATAAAAATTGTTTTCTTTCATTGCAGGAAGAAAGGATTTGATATTAAATGGGTGGATGATACACATGCTTTAGGAGTATTCTCCAGTCCGATCACAGGTATTTGTTCAGTGTATTTCAATGTTTTCTTATTGTCCATATTCTCCTACTACATATTTCTCTTCTATTGCAGTCAGTTGGGCATTTTATTCCACTAATCTAGATAATAAATAGATGCAGGTTTTTGAAGCATGGTGCTTTGGTACTGATGTGCTTTCCCTCTCCTGTTTCTGTTAACCCAATGATATTTTGAGAGATAATCAGCTCCTTCCAGTGTTACTTGCACATATACCTGTCAGTCATAACAGTGCATCAACAGATTACCAGTAAGAGATGTAAGAGCAGTTTATGCTTTCATTGTTTGGTCATTATTTTCATGCCTAAGTCTGGTAACCTGAGCAACTGCTTTGTAAGGTAACGATATGCAGTATATTAACTAGTGCTAATTTTCTACTATATTTTTGAAATTCTGTATCATGTCTTTGTTTTTAACATTAAAAACAAAGAAGGCAGTAGAACTAAGACTTACAGTATGTTAGTTTTTCCCCTGAGACTAATGAATTTGAAGTAGCCCGTTAGCCTGTAAGAAATTACAGTACCTACTCTGAATATGTCATTGAGCTTTTGTACATAAGTTATTGGGTTCATGGTAGATGTGATGCATGGCATTCAGAGAAACTAGAGATGTTGGAATGTTGGTTTCTGTCTGACACATCTAGAACATGGCTCTGAAGACTTATTTCCTAAAGGTGAAGCCAGAAAGCATCCACAGACAGTATGCAAATAAATGATGCTGGCTCTGTTTCATAAAATTTTATTTGTAAGCATAGGTGGCTGGCTGGACTTGGTCATAGAACCGCAGTTTACAAAACCCTAATCTGAAATAATCACTGTCATGTTCTTTACATATTTGCTGTATTTTATGTTCTAGTTCTTGTGAAAAAAAAAAAAAATAAGACTTAGGAAATACTTGCTGTTCCTTTATGTAACTCCACTTCATGTCTTCAGTTTCTTTACTTCATTCCTCCTTGCAGCTCGTGATGCTTTGAGTATTAAACACGCCATGGTGAAGATCCGACCCTTGTCACAGGCCACAAGAGCAGCCAAGGCCAAAGCTAGAGCTTATGCTGGTGAGTGTAAAGTCTGGGTTTATTTTGCCTTTTAATGATGATGTTACTGCTTTTTCTAGCAATTGTGCACCATCCAGAGTTGTAAAGACATCGTTTTTATTTGTCGTATGAAGAAAATACAGTTTTAGGGACAAAAAGAAAAGTGACCATGTTGGAAATGAGCCATCAGAACAGCTGGCTAGAGAATAGGAGATACTAACTGCAAGCAGTGTGGCAATCAGTTTTGGATGACACCCTAGTTTACCTGTGTTTTAACTGATAGTCACTGTAAGAAATTGTGTTAATGCAGATAATGAAGCAGAGGGTTGTTTGTGCTTTGCCATGTTAATTTCCTCTGATCCTCATCCATCAGGTTTGTATTAATTACTGCTGATGCAGCCCTTGTTAGTCTATTTTGTATGTTAATTACTGAGTTAAATCACTTGGAGCTGAAGTGCTTTCTCCTTTATCTCTCCTACTCCCTCCCATTCTCCCATTCAGAATTCCTTCAGCCAGTGAAAGAAAGGCCTGAGACTTCAGCAGCCCTAGCCAGAAGGTTAGTTGTCAGTGCCCTTGGGGTTCGAAGCAGGCAGAGCAAAACGGAACGGGAAGCAGAGCTCAAGAAACTACAAGAAGCCAGAGGTGAGTTGATACAATACTAGCCCACTGTGTGTTAAAAAAAGAAAAATTAAGCCCATTCCTTGTTATTTGCATTTTCTAGGAGCCTCTCAAGTATTTAAAAATTGTTTTCAAGCCTACATGTGAGAGAGAGACATTTCAGGATTTGTCTTTGTTCCACACATGGCGGCATTTTAATTTATGTGCCTACTGTTGTTTTCTAAAAGATAGATTTAGCCCTCTCAGCTCATTCTTGGCTTTTTCTACAATTCTTTCTCCAAATGCAGAAAAAATTTTCTATGCAATCATAACAGACGTCTAGAAAGAAAGCATTATTTACTGTGGTTTTACTGGGCTTTGCTTGCCATGTTGTTATTAAATGGTTTAGATGTTAGGTAGAAGACAAATTAAGATAAAACCAGCAACTGATACTAGTGATAATAACTATAAGACAATTTTTTGTCTAAGATAGTCTTAAGAGGCTCAGTTAGAATACATTTGGATTTACCTGTCTTCTGATAATTTTCCAGTATCTGAGAGTTCTCAGAAAATATTTCCTTTCTCCACAAGAAGGGTTTTTCTTCCCTCACTGTTTGGAGTTGAAGTTAAAATATTTCTCTTTATAGACTGTTGACTTGTGTATAGAGACTCCAGGCTGGGCTTGGCCCTTACGTGCTTTTTGTCAACTTTGAGGCTTTAGTTAGTCTCATTGCCTAAGCCTAAGATCTAGGGACTCTGAAGGCAGTTTTTTTCTGAAAATTCCACTTACTGAAAAGGAACTTCATTTTTTCCATTAAATGAATGGAAGTTTCAGACTCCTTGTTTATTGCAAGCCTAACAAGGCCATTAATACTCTCTGTCCACTCTGCTTTGGTGATAGCAGGCAGCTTGTGGACTCTCAGCTGCAGTGGCCAGATAACCAGTGACAGAGTGTGTCATGGCAGGGGTGAGAGTTTCAGGAATGCAACTAATTTTTGTAACCTTAATGATTATGTGGTAGTTGTGACTTTTCCTAATGCTTTGTGCACTCAAAGACCTCTTAGAGACTATGGAAATTGGAGAGGATTACCCTGCTTTTTATAGGTGACAGTAGTAAAACTAAAGAAGAATGGGTAGTGTCCTTTTTTTGGTTACCTCTAAGGAAAATTATTTCTGTGTGATAGCTACAGTTATCTCAAAAGAGGAGTAGAGGTTCGTAATAGTGATATCTAAAAAGGGAGATCTGACTCCTTGAGCAGTGTATCAATCTTCCCTATGGGTTTGACGTCAGTTACAGCTCTGCAACTACTGCAACCATTGTTTTACATAGGTATTATTTGATTATTCTCCTTTAGTTGTCTGTAGACACATCAGCATGCAACTCCACTTCAGATACTTGTTTTAATTGCCTTGCTATACAAAGGACACTTCAGTGATGCAATTAAAAATGAGACTCTTGGCTGAGTACTCTGTTACTTTTCTAAAGAATGCCTTTATTTGAGGTATAGACTCACTGTGATAAGATCATCCCATCTATTGATACTGAAACTATGGATTACAGGGGACCCTTCCTTTATTATACTTCAGAACTCTCCTGTTCTTCAGACTTAAAAACTCAATTTGGGGTACTTGGTGTTTCTCTTCTGGTACCTTTGTGTATCAAGCAGATATTCATATACCTGCCTTCATGGAGCCCAAGCCTTCTCACTTAAAAAAAAATAATAATTTTTTCCAGAGGAAATTGAAAGTACTGTTGAGTAGTAAGTAGAGCATTTATTTTTGTCTCAGATGGGAGCAGTACAGCATAGTAGATGACATAGTATTGATTCATAGTCAGACTGCGTAGGTCCTGTGTCTTCACTATGCCATTTATTAGCTATGTGACTTTGGGGAGTTTACCTACTCTCTGGAGGCCTCTGTTTTCTCATTCATAAAATAGAAATCCAATGAGATAGTCTATAAAAGATAATTTTTTTTTTTTTTTTACTGGTACCAAGGATTGAACTCACAACCATGTGCTTGCAAGGCAGGCGCTTATGTGAGCTAAATCACCAGCCCCATTATAATCATTTTTTAAAACCATAGGAACTGGCACTTCTGTGCCAGTAGACCTATAATAAGTATATAAATGTTGGCTGTTGTTTTTATCAGTAGTAATAGGATCGTTCTGTAATGACTTTAATGTAGATTACAATGTGTAATTTGTTGCCATTACTCTTGAAAAAATCCTGTACTACACTGTTAGCTCCGTCTGGCATTCACTGAGCACCTTCCCTGTGTGAAGCATTGACTTCCTCTGTGTAGAATTAGAAGGAAATTAAGATTTCCTCTCCTTAAGACTTACAATCTAGTAGGGCTGTCTACCTTGAGCAAGGAAGAGAATATGGACTCCTTTTAGATAATTTAAAGCAAATACTTCTCTTCTTCTTTTTCCTTACTCCCTTTGTCTCCCCAACCCCCCAGGACCACACTTACACAAGAACTCTCCCACTGAGCTACATCTCTAGCCTCTCTTCTGATATCAGTTATGAACATTTTAAGATGAAAAAGCATAAGAAGGGTTTTGTTCATGAAAAGGGTTGGTAGAAAACTCCAGGCAGTGAGTGTAATCTGTTCTGCTAGTTTTGTAAATTGGTGGCAAATTGTACTATCTAGTTTAAAGCTAGTCCAAAGGAGTTAGTACCTACACTAAGGTTACCCGCCTGGTAAAAGGAGGGGAGAGATTTGAATATAGACCTCGCCACGTAACACTCATACTTTTTCTATAGTACTGTAGCCCTTCTTGAAGGACTTTTTGGATGATTGGCATTTTTTTCCTAAGAAGAAATTTGTATACTATATTACATATGACAAAAATTATATAAATGTCACTTTTATATTTATAAATTTTTTTGTTACCAGGAATCAAATTCATATGATCTTGTGCTTGCCAGACAGGTGCTGTCCCTCTGAGCTATATCCCTGAGTCTACAGAGAATGAAATATGACAGACTTCTTTTTAGTATCTGTACTAGGCTGGGATTTAGCTCAGCTATACCAAGTTAACAGTTTCATTGTCAGAAGAATCTTCCTTTGGTCTGGCTTAAATCTGCATGGTAGGTTTAAACCAGTTTCCTCTTTTTGTCTTAATAAAGCATCTGGGTACCATTCTGTTAGAGCAACATTTAATTGTAAAAATCAAGAGTAGATGATTTAGGAACGAGGGAATCTGGGCTTTAATAGATATTTTACCATTGTAGCTTGTTGTCTGGGAAAGTCACTTATACTCTCTTTCCCCTGCTTTCTAGCAAAGTGAAAGTACTGCTCACCCTACCTAATTGGGGAGAATTTTTTGACTACAACATACTTCAGCATATGTAAAAATGTTCAGAAAAGTACTTTACAAATCCAGGACACTATTCTTCTGTGTTCTTAGGGTTCTATATTACAATAATGTAAGCCAGTAACCACAGTTTGTATTATGTCCTGCTGTTCCCCATCAGTGGCACATGGTAGATACTACCAATAGTTGTGATACTCACTGTTGATGAATATTGACATGACCATTTGTAACTGACCAGAATTAGTGCCGCAGTAAATCTCTATACCATCCTAGCATAGGCAGTTTCAGTAATTCTATATAACATTTTTAGCCCTACTTTGTTCTACATAAAAAATTCTGTTCTCTGCCACAGCACTCAAGGCATAAAAATACATTCAACACATTTCATTGACTGAATTATATTAGTGACATTGGTTATTTTAACTTCCTTCATAAAGGATTTTATTCTAAACTCTTAAAGTCTTCTGTGTTTCTAAAGTCTAAAATTAATCACTGTATGTATGAAACTCTTCTAATTAATGAGTTTGGCATTTGTAAACTTGAGTTTTAAATACTTTCCTGCTAGACTTTCATACCCATTTGGATTTTCTCTATACCTTTAAAGGAGATTAAGAAATTAATGCCACTCCTGAGAGAGCGGAGAAAAAGAAGTATCCAAATAATTTTTAGCAAATCACATTGGTTACATCAGGAGGAAGACAGCCATAGTACATAGTCCCTGAACACAAGAAAGGTACCTTTTAGTCCAGCACAGTGCATAACAGATCAGAGCTACACTAAAAGTGGAAAATAGAAGTATAGATTTTTTAGGGCCCAAATTTAGGAATCTGTGTAAATTTTAACCATGTTCCACTTATCCAAGCAGTTGATTCTTACCTAAAATTGGATGTAGATGTCATTGTCTCTTAAAATACGCGTACGTTCTAATTTCAAATCCTGCTATAATTTTATTTTGTAATTATTTTCATTTTATTCTTGGGGATAGGTGATTAATGGCTAGTTTTAAAAAGCCATGTTTTGGTTCACAGGCCTAAAAGGCTGAATAAGTAAACAGGTTGAATAATTAAATAGCTAAGAATTTTGGGGCAGGGGAGTTAGCTCAGCAGTGTAAGTGCCTGCTTTGCAAGTACACAGTCGTCAGTTCGAGCCCCAGTACCCCCCCCAAAGATCATTTCTATGTGATAAGTCTATTTTAATAAGACATTTAATCATGATTGCTCACTTTTGAAAAGCTTTTTAGGAATTCCATTATTCTACCTTAAAGGATAGTGCTGTATTGGTTTATAATGTAGGGCTTCAGGTATTTTCTTGATGTCTTTTCTCCTGTGTTGTCTCAAGTTCCCTTCATTTGTAATCATATTTTGAGGGCAGTACTTTTTTCTGGAGATGCAGTACTCACCTATTTTTTCATGTCATTTGTTATTTAATAAACTTATTTCCCTTGCCTAAATTGTAGGTAAAAATGTCAACCTAAAACTAGCCAACCAGGTCACCAGCATTGTTTGTTGTATTGCTGTATAATGCATTCTTTGTGAGATCTGGATTGCATTTTTATAGTATATTGGTGATTATCTAAATATTTGGTAAATTTGAAACCTGGAACCTTGGTAAGATTGAGAGAGTACTAGTATTAATACTCTTTATCAAGTTTGTCACTGCATAAAAGAAAGCAATTACATTAATATGACCAGACTTCTTGTTTTTTTTCCAGACTTCTTCTTCACAAAGCACCTATTCTGTAGGTGACTAAAAGTGGGTTTTTATGATCCTTTTTCTTATATGTAGGAGTAAAATTTTAAAGTCTTTAATTTTCATCACTCCCCTTTTTTCCATGAGGTGAAACTGGCTCTTTTTAAATATTAAATGCTTACCATTCCCTCCTTGAGAAGTGGTAACTGATTGCTCCATGATCTTGATCAATTCATTTAATATAGTTATTTGTCAATATGCTTATTATACTAGGGAATGGAAGTCTTCAAGGCCAATTTATGTGAATGCTTTATTTATTTCTTCTGAGCTCTTCTCCCTTAGTTCTTTGACCACTATTAGGCTTTCTCTTTACTTAGTTTACTTTTCTTAATTAGTGGAGGGAAGTTTAATAAGCGCTTTTTCTTTTTATGAAATTGGTTAGCTGTTGTCTGCTCTTTTTTCATTAAAAAGGGGGGCATTTCTTTTAGGTCAATAAATCTTTTCACATGCTTTTCCTTTTCTTTGTAGATAGTTTTCAGATTATTTTTTCAGATGTCAGGATAGTAGAAAATATGCTGGTTAAGAATAAGGACCTGAGTTCTAGCTTCTGATCTTTCATTGATTATGTAACATTAGGCAAAGTTACTTAAGCTTTACAGTGTTGTTTTCCTCATAAGAATGAAATTACTTTTTAAGTCTGATCCTAACCTATAAGTCCCTCAGTATTCATGTTGTTTTTGTAAATTTATACCTCACGTTTTCACTGTCTCTTTGTGCTTCTCAGTTTCTCTGTCTACTGGTACTAATGTTGTCATATTGTTTACCACCAAAATGTCTTCTAACATATATTTGGTAATACCAATTTTTTTTATTAAAAATACTAGCATAGGGCATATTTTAGATTTCTGAACTTTTCAAATTTTAGAAAGGTAATACAATATCCATGACACATTCTTCAAAATAATAAAATCAAACACATTTAATGTTTCTGCAGCAAAGTACATTACTATTTATGTTAAATGGAATTTTTAAAGACTGTGAAGACTGTAATCAATCTTGGGCTATTTCAGGTTAGATTTGCCACTATCAGTGAGTTTCGGCCCAAACTTAAAATGATTCGTTTTCAGAATTGTTTTAATTTTGGAATTGTGGATCATTACATTTATTGTTCCTAGATATCTTTTCTTATAACTGCTCACATTACATTTCTGGTTTATTTCCTACCATACTGAAAAGGTTGAGTTTCAACTCACTTGTCTCATTTATTAACTTTTCTTTTAAATCTAGAACCAATTTTGTGTTGATTTTATCCAAGGCTGCCCTTGCCTTTAGATCTCCTAACTTCTCCATGTTTGTAAGAATCAAAACCATACTATACTGCATTTGTAGGAGATGCTTAAAGTTTTTAGACAAGTCAGTTATCCTTGCACTGTCTCTTGAGGAACCTCAGCTTAAGCAAGGCTGCCTTATAGCTGAGTCCTAGCGCACTATGTTAACCATCCTTTAGTTTGCGATTTGCTGACCTTCATCTTTTGTGTCTTGTAACTTTGCTGCTATATTCAGAAAATACCACAAGATGGTGCCCAAATAGCAGAGAATTTCTCTTCTCACATTTTCAAGTGCCACTCGGCTTCCTGTCAAAATCCTTTGCCCTTGGAGTCAAATAGAGCTCAGAATATTCTAAGAGTCTGCTCATTTTAAAAGATGTGTCAAATAGCAAGTTTGCTTTAAACTCATCTTGATTTCTGTGTTTCATCAGGTTCATGATTTATAGTCTTTCACTGATACTATCAATTTGGAACAGTAGCCCTTATAAAGAAACATTTAGGTTTACCGTCTGCATTTTAAGGTTTTGAGAAAAGTGGTCATAAAACCAGAGCTGGTATTATGGCATCTGACAAAGTGTTTGGGCTGCAAACCATATGTTAGTTTTTTGATTTGATTTGGTTTGAAGGTGATGACTTGCTGTGTTACTTAGGCTGGCCTTAAACTCCTGAGCTCACATGATCAGTGCTGTCTCAGCTTCCCAAGTAGCTAGGACTGTGGGCACGTGCCACCACTTCCAGTTTGTATTTTATCAGCTCTTTTTGTATGAAAAATTCAAGCTGGAATACCCAGATTTGTACTTTTTTTTTTTTTTTGGTTAATCAATTTTTCCTCCCTATGTATGTTATTTTTCTATATTGGAATTGTATATTCCAGGATATTTCTGGCTTCTGAAAGTGCTCTGCAAAATACTGAGATTTTGTTTACTTCTGAAATAGTTTTCTAATAAAGTTATAGTAGAAGATGAGAGTAAGGCTTTGTGGCTATTTCTATTTGAGTAACAAAGTAGAAGAATATTGAAATGTCAAAATATTTTATAAAATATCTATATTAAAACATTGAACACAGCTGAAAAATGGAGTTAAGATATAGCTCTATCAGGAAAACTAGAATCTGGATCCTGCTAGGTTTGACTTATTCCATATACTTTAATTTTGTGAGCTCCAAATCTTTTTTCCCCCCTATTACATGAAAGATAATGGGAGCTGATATATATCTCAGTGGTAGAGTACATCCCTCATATGTGTGAAGTCCTGGATTTGATCCCCAAAACTACACACGTGCATGTATGTGTGTAGTGTACCTGATAGTACTATCATTTTCATTTACAAGGCACTTGGAAAATTAAAAGTTAACAACTGATGGAATCAAGTAAAAGGTGATCAGGAATTCCACCTGTCTTGTGATTAAAGTTGCTTTGTAGTTTGGATTAAGAGAGACCCACTGGTTATGAAGTATGCATCCACATTTAAGTGGTTTTTTTTGTTTTGTTTTGTTTTTTTCCACCAGAGAGAAAACGTTTGGAAGCCAAGCAACGTGAGGATATCTGGGAAGGCAGAGAACAATCTGTAGTTTGAACATTGTTCAATGAAAAGGGAAACTCCATGAATAAGAAAAATATTTCTGTAGCCTCAGATAAGAGGATCCTTCCAGAGCTGTGTACACAAGGATATGCACGTTAAAGCAAGAGAAAAAGCTATCAAGACAAAGATTGACTGGGTAGAAAGAAAATAGACATTTGTCTTCACTCCTAAATGCAGCTCTTTGTTACTACCCTACTGTGGTAGATACAAAAGGAAACAGTCAGCTGAGAAAAACAGTGGAAGATGCAGTTTCCAAGAGTCCCATGGACAGAGCAAGTCATGTTAGCATGGATCGTACTTTCCAAAATGTCTAAAGCAAATGCAAAGCAGAGCAGAAGATTCGAGCCTGCACTGATGGGAGATTTAGGCCCTGCAAAGGCAGAGCATTCCTTATTACCTGACAAAGCTGGAAACAGCAGTATTGGAGACAGGAATGATGGACATTTAGGGAGCAGATAAGACAGACAGATGAGAGCTGTACCTGGCCCCCACATGATCTATACTGCTGGTCCCAGAAGTCCAGAGTTAGTGAACCGCCACAGATGCAAGGATCTGGATCTGGAGCTGGTACTCTCCATGCCTAGAGCTACGCCAGCTGTACAGTGACCAGGCACCTGCCAGCTGCACTCCAGCCAGTCCTGAGGAGTTGTGTGCCATTTCTACTTTAAAGAGCAACATGTTGTAAGAGGGAAACAGTAAAGGCCATTTTAATGACATATATCACTATGGTTTTTATCAGTTTTTTTTCTTTCCCAAAGAGAAATGAGAGCAGCTCTGTTCTTATGCCTTTGAGGTTATACATAGGTTAAATGAATCTGTTGCTTTTATCGAACCCCAGTGAATAATATCTCTCTTCACCAGAATATATTTAACAAATGATCATGCTGGAATTCTCAGTATTTTTGGAAAGCATTATTCCCCAAAGAAATGCTGGTACTGACATGGCGAAACATGACAGTAGCCTTCTTATCCTTTGCCCAACTGTCTCTGCTGCTTTTCCAGTCATAGCGCCCTCTCACTGTTCGTTAGTATTGTTTTTCTCATTCTTGGTTTATTTTTCCAGCGTCCCATGTTCTTACCAAGTTTAGGAAATTGTGTCATTGTTGTGATCCTTTTCTACTACTACTACTTAGTCTTTGACTTGGGTTACTTGTCTTCATGGTGTGCTTGACCAGTATGGCTGTATTTGAAAGGAGATGCAAGGGATTATGGTGGCATAACTTCATACTGAATGGTTTACCTGTGAAATTTGCTGCTGTTGTGTGCGTTGCTGGGGATAAACCTAGGGCCCTGCACATGCGAGGTAAGCACTCTACTGCTGAGCTACTTCTCAAGCCCATCTTTTGACTCTTCAAGACTAAGAGTAGCTTTGGGAAATAAAATGATGACTTCCTGTTGATTGCCTATGAAGGTACATCCCCTGTATGACCGCTTTTCAGCTTCTAAAAGCGTTGTTAATGGTAAAGCTTACCCTGTGTTTATTACCCAGTTTTCTTATAACCCTCATAATTTCAAGGACTTATTTGTGTTCTCGTTCTAATGCAGTGTACTAGAAGCCTATCTCCTTTTTTTGTTTTGTTTTAGCTGACAGCCCGCCATCTTTAAGTCTCAGGTGTATCTTTTTAATTAACTACAGAGAAAGGGATTTTTAAAGAAACATCATTTTAAAATTATGGAGTGTCACTTTTATCATTAGTTGAATATGTTTTTTGGTTATGTTATTACAGTAGTTGGAGTTGATGTATACTGGCAGAGATAAGAGGTCCTGCTTTGGCCCAGCAGACTGCCTTGAGTTTATCCAGATGAGAATCAAATCCTAGGTCATGTCTAAACCATGCCTTCACAAATAGAACTAATTAGAGAATACCTTTCGCTACCAAGGGCTCCTTTGTTAAATCATAGTAAAGATAGCTCAGCACTGTGCATGGCTGTTCCCTCATATATGTCAAACATCTAAATCTCAGGATCACCTGGAATTTATAATGGAAAGGTTCTAATTCCTTCCTCAGAATGAAAATCTTAGAAGTAACTTTAAGCTGGAGTTTCTAACTCTTAAAGAGTTAGAAATTAAATTAAATTTCTGCTACCTGAGTGTGCTGATGTGAGTGTCTTAGGATTTTAGTTTTGCCTGGAATTTAGTGGTTAGTATTCAATTAACATTCCTCATCTAGTTATGAGGCATGCCAGCCACCAGTCTTCCTGTGACCTTTCCTTTCAACTGAGTGCTATAACAGCACAACCCTTGTATAACTTTTTCCAGGAATTATAACAGGTTGTACCTATCAGACGTGTGATGTGGGCAGCAAGACAGACCAGAGCTAGTCGCTGTCTGCCTGGCTTGCTTTTTCTGGCTGTCTTGGAAACTAGATCCAGTAAGAAGCTGAAGGTAACTGCCCTGTCCAAATTCAGTCATCAGTCACCACATACTCCTTGGCTAGCTGCACATTCTTTCATAGACCATTTGCTGCATGTGTGAGAATAATGTTGTTACTGTTCGGGAGATGTTTGCTGAATCCAACAGGAAATCAATCCTTTCCCTGTTTACCTTAACTGCCATGCCTAGTAAAGGGGATGATAGAGTTGAGAAGCAAAAAGATAGAGGAGAGGAAGGAAGAAAGTACTTCTTTGTATTCATAGAGGGCACCGCCTGGACTGGAGAAGTCCTTTTGACTTCCCTCATGAAGCTCTTGTGATATGGGAAAGAGTACTATTATAATCTGCTTTGCCTGCAACCATTCATTTTGGGTTTGCAGCCTGTAATGCAGAAGTTGACAGATCTTAGATTTTACCTTCTTAGGCTTTTCATTCCATAACCTTTCCAGCGTGTTTTAGCATTAAGCACAGGAAATGAACCTGAAAAGCAGACAATAGGCTAATATTTGATTAAAGAAATGTACATGAGTAATACAAATGCCCCATGTATCCTTATCTCCATTGAGAGGGAAGAGGGATAGTGTGCTGGGAACTGTACATAATCACAGCTGGTCTTGGCTTTATAGCAATCTATAATGAGAAACTTTTATTGCAATAATGTGTCAGACTTATAAAGATATCTCTGTGTGTCAGTACAGAGAAGATGAACATGTTTAAGAAGACCATGGGATTTATACCACCTAACTAAGAGCATAGTTCTGCCACATCAAGTAGGGATGGTGGCCTTTTCCAGATTGAGTCCTTAATTAAATGTCCCCCTTCTGATTTCTCCGTAATCTTTTGTCTCTCTGACAGCCCATCTTAATGTTCCTATAGAGCTTGCTTGACCAAGGTTCTTTCCATTGCAGAAATTCATTCAACATGAAGCTGATTTGATTGTGATCTGAAGTTTAGGCCAGTCCTGAGATGTGTGGTGATCCTCAGAGAGACTGGATTGCCCGACACATTTCTTCCCTCGGCAGAGACCCTGACACAAGCTGGGATCTGTATTACCTCAAGCCTTCTGCTGCTTTGCAAAGGGAGGCCGTATCTGACCACTTCTGTGAAACTTGCTCCTTCTCAAGCATTCAGTAACTGCTGGTGTTGACTCATCAGGAAGTAATGTAATTCCTGAGGCTTAAATTAGGGTATTAGAAACACCCAGCTATATGGCAGGGTAAAGGTAAAAACACTAAGGAGCACACTCCTGGAAGTATGAGAAGTGAGTGCTAAATGAGGACAAGGTGAGGGATTGCACTCAACAGCCTCTGCCATTTGTATCTGACAGTTACATTTATTCACCCCCTCCTGGAGAACTAGCCCCACTTTCTGTATATTTAGGTACATTTTCATAGTACCGCTTAGATCGGGGACTGTGCCCATAGTAAACCCCTATGGAACTGAGAGCTCCAGAAGCCAGGAACTCTGCAGTAGGTTTCAGGAGAGATTAGGTGGCCTTATAGAAGAGGAACTTAGTTGACCAAAGCCTGAAAACCATATTTTGTAGACGACAGGTTCTCCAGGGACAGGCCCAGAGCCATCATGAGGGAGCAGTATCATTCAGGTTTGGTGATTGTACCATCAAAAGACTTCCTGAGTATCCTTTTGGTGCCCTTTGGAATTGGCCCCTTTTACTTTTGGGTCAGGACCTTGAAGGACTTGGCTCCAATAAGTTGAGGTATCTGGTGTGTGGGCAGCAGCTGGTATGGCTTCAGATAAGGTTATTCCTGAGTCGCTCCTGCTCCAGGAAAAATTCTGCATTGGCTCGGTACGAATCTCCTGGGGGCCAAAAGAAAATAGCTAGGTATCCAACCCCACCACAGTCTCATTCCTTCCCTGACAGCTTCACACAGGACCCATTTTGCTCAGCTAGTTCTTCGTATCTGCTCAGTTCAGGGCACACACACTAGTAATTCTCCAGAAACAGACTGTTAGGAACAAGAGTTTGCTGAGTGGAAGGGGCTATGGTGGAACTACTTTGCTGCCTTCCCTGGTTAATTTTGTGCTTTTTGTTGTTTTCTCTGGGAAATTGACCCCAACAGGTCCGGCATTTCTTCTGCTCTGTCCTGTGCTTTGGGCAGTGACAGTCTGTGACTCCAGCTCCAGCCAGGGTCACCGCCCTTCACAGTGTGCTTTCACCTGGCTTCATGACATATATTCCTCCTTTAGGCTCAGAAGGGATAAAGTTTTCTACTGCTTATCCCTAGATACCTCAGCATCCCTTATTCATCCTATGTCACAGACTCACACTTCTGTAAATAATTCTTTGTTGCACAACTTGAGACTGACCTGGATGTGCCCTGGGTTTTCTGCTAGGATTCTAATGGGTTTCTAATCATTAGCAAAAGGACCTGAAGAATACCTGTTTTTCTTTCCTTCCTCACTGCTCCAGCTGCATGCAGTCTTAGTGTACTGCCTCCATATGCACAGCACTGGACTTCAGTTCATGGTTCCTCTCATATTCTTTATTTAATGTCAGCAAGCATCTACTTGGTCACCCAAATTGAAAACCATAAGCCCTTCCTCTTCATTCTGTCTCCCAGCTGTTAACTTCCAGAGTAATTTTTTGTTTCCTTGACTGATATTTGTCATGGAAAAAAGTCCATTCTCTTTAAACAATCATAGCCCTCCCTGGAAAGAACTAGTAGGTTGGAAGTTCATGGCCCTGTTTCACAAAAGAGAAAACCTTGGTTATTTCCTCACTGTCCTACACCTAGAAAGTGATAGTTTTGGATTTGGTACCCAGTCTAGGGAAGATGTCTTAAGTTCAGTGCTGTTTTACTCCTCCCTTTAGTGTCTTCTGCACCTCTTCCAAAACCCTGCTCAAATTCTGGGTCCTCTCTGAAACCTCTCTGGCCTCCAAGTTGCTGTCTCTCGGCTTATTCCACATTTATTTCATATCTGTTTAGCATAGTATTGTATATGGGCACACCCTCTATGACACTGTTCTATCTTCAGTGCCACTGCAGAATTCAGTACAGTAGGAGACCTTAACGGTGACTGAAGGAGCACCTCTGTCCTACTGCACCCCACACATGTAGCATGGGAATACACATAGTCCCTGACAAACCCTGACATTTTAAAAGCATTAAAGTAGAGGGATTCTCTACTAACTAGTGCAGCAGCCTGCCTCTTACTGTGCCCATTGTTGCTGTGCCTGATACTACCAATCCTCTGTTTTTGTTCTCCTTGGACTTGTGAAGAAATTAAGCTCTGTCGCTTCCCTAGCCATTACACACACATACATACATGAGCGTGTGTGTTTAGAGTCCACCAGCCCCCTGAGCCCACCACACAATACTCATCCCTTAATAGTGGCTCAGGTACCTGTGTGGCAGTTGTGCAGCCAGACCCGTTGCCCGTCGTACTTGCAGCGGCAGCGCATCATGTTGTTGGAGAAATCAGATTCTGCCACATCATTTGTGGGATTCACAACCACCTGGGGTGAGGGAAACAACAAAATGGGTGATTTGGTTTCTGAGTTGATGTGTCAGATCCCCTGCATCTCGCATGTTAGTGTGTTTCTGTTTGTTTCGTTAATCTTTACAGTCACCCATCAGGTAGGACTTTCTGTCTGCATTTTACAGGTGGATGCATTGCCCATGTCCACTGAAGGATTCAAACCCAAAGCCCTGAGATCCCTATAAGTGTTCTTTCCCCATGGCACAGCCCCTTCAAAGTCATAGGCCTGTTGGAGGCTGCATGGAAAATTCTGCCTTCCTCTTACCTGAAAGATATAGTCCCCTGGACTCACATCTGTGATGTCCACCCACTGGCAGTCAATGTCATGGCGGTAGGTATCCCAGCAGCCTACAGTCACTCCCTGCTCCCCAAAGTTGGCACATGCATAGCGCCGCTGCAGACCTATAAGGAAGAGTAGATGGTTACTGAGGCACGAAGTACGTGCTTGTGACAAAGCACTATGCTAAGGCTGTCATGTAATTGTTTAATCCTGAGGCCAGTGTTTACCAATCAGTCAGTGCCCTTAAACACGCTCAGATTCAGAACCCGAGGTCAAGTGACTTGCCAAAGTGAGAACTGGACTGTGTGACAAGGAGATTATTACTTTGGATAGTATCCTGAAAATCCTTGTTGGTCTAAAATGTGGTTGGGAGATTATAGCCCAAATGTGCTAACTTGTCTACTCATCTGTTCACCCAGCCTTCCCTCTAAAGATTGTGTACCATGCTGCTCTTTAGGGATGGAGACTGGGGATAGGCATGTAGAAATTGGACAATCCCCGGCCTCAAAGAGCTTAACAGACTGCAGCTGTTACCCAAGATCGAAATTGTCAAGCTCTTAAAAGCAATATAGAACATGTTGGGAATTCAGGAAAAAAAAAAAAAAATAGAGGCCTACCACCTAAGATTTCAGAAGGAAGAAACTGATCTCTTTTAATTGTTTTGAGTGCTCTTGCTATGCCAGTTCCAGGTGCCTAGGCTACTGAGGAAAGCAGAAGAGATCTACACTCCCAAAGGACAGAGGAGTATAACAGGGGAGATAGATAGTAGACAGGTACATAGATGCAGTTAGGAAATCATGTACCTGTCGGACAGTTTGTGTCTTCTAGACAGAAGCTGGCCTTGTGCCCTTGTGCCACCTTGGAGCCATTCAGTGTGAGCAGGTCATAGTGGGTGAAGACCTCAATGCTGTGGTAGTGTCTGCAGAAGAAGCAGAGTTAGCCTCACTGTGTTAAGAGAGTGTCTTCTGTGGAGGAGTTGGCAAGGAAGACTAAGGGACGGGGCCCCATCATTACCCAGAACAGAAAGTTGTAATACCAGGGCAGTGCTCTTTGCTCTTCCAAACCCAAGATTAGTGTGACCCATAGCCTGCTTTGCCAGCACCCCTGCTAGGCAGCAAGATACAGCTATCCCTGTCACCCAGGGTCTCAGCCCATGAGGGAGAGTGAAAGTCCTGTCTTAGTAGCCTTCAGGGTATTGGAACAAGGCTTCAGGGCCCAAGGCAGAAGGAGGAGGAACACTTGGCCCTGAGACGGCCTAGGAGCAGATGTTTTGGAGAGGGAGCTCACGGACTCCTGGCAGCCTGGGACTATGCTACCATAATTTTCAATACAGCTATAATGACAACTCTTCATCCTACAGGGAAAGGTGCTTATTATCAGGCAAGGCAAAGTCCCAAAGTCTTTAGCCATTCCTCTCAGCTTTCCCCACCCATGGCTGTGCCCTGAAAAAGTAAGTAAAAAGGTTCCCATTCTGTGTTCATCACAAGCATTGCCTCTCCTGGTCTGGAGACTCCTGATAGGGAAGGATGTTCATTGTCTCCTTTTCAGTACCAGTCTGCTCATGCTATTCTTTGGAGACCTTTCCTTGCAGCTGCAGGAACCAGCAAGCTTTCTCTGCAGAGCCAGCATCCTATTTTGGGCCTCCAGGTTTCTAGGAGTCTTTAGTTTACCTAGCTTTTAACAAGAAGGCTTAAGACCCAGTGTAGAAAATATATGTAAACTGGGCATGATAGTACACATCTATAATCCCACCACCGGGGGCCGAGGCAGGAGGCTCATGTATTCTAAAACAGCCTGGGTAGTTTAGCAACTTTTGAGACCCTGTCTCAAAGCATGATAAAGAATTGGAGATAATAGCTCAGTGCAGAGGCCCTAGGCTCAATCCTCAGTATTTAAAAAAAAAAAAAAAAAAGCAACTGTGATACCATTCTAGCAGGGAGTAACTACTGGGCATAACTTCTCTCGAACGTTACTGGGTAATGCCTCATGAGCATTGTCCACAGTTATGTCCAAGAGAGAGGATAGGGGAATGCTACTGCGACCCCTAATTCCCTGAGAGTAAGGATGGGAGATTTCTCTAACATGTACACCTCTCCTAGGAAAATTTGTTGAGGCTAGGGAAGACCAGACTGGTCCATGGACCCTGCTTTTTGTCCCCACTCTCTGGAGCCAAGGCATAGGCATGCACTAACCTGTGGCATTGGTGCCAAATCCAGCTGTGGCGTCCAGTCTTGGGACGAAAGTCAGCCCGGCCCAAGTTGTAGATCTGTGAGGAGAAGCGCAATAGGCGCCGGTGTCCATAGGGCCAATCCATGTGGTCAGCAGACTGAGAAAGGCACTTCTCTTCATGGGCACAGTACAGTAAGCTGAGGGGACGGTCCTCCAGGTAAGCCGTCTCCTGTACCAGCTGGGCGTTCATCACCAGGTCTGGAGCACCTGGGGCAGCAGAAGGCAAGACAAGAGCCCAAGCAGAGCATGGCACTTGTTCTGCCCTCCAGTATGAGCACATGCTTGTCCCTAGACCGGCTTCTCTCCAGGCCAGAAAAGAAAGGCAACTGAGTCAAGAAATGCTGATTCTACTATCAATAAAAAAGAGTAACTCATCATTGAAGCCAGGAGGCAACTCCAGGGGCATGGTTAAGATTTATCAGCTCTGGCCCCAGACCACCAGGGTTCATTCTTGGTATGACTTCTGGCTGTTCCATTTGTCAGTTCTACAATTGCTTAATCATTTGTCATTTTTTGTCATCTGAAAGATGGAAATAATAGTGATACTAATGTGATGACACTTGTCCCATGGCTAGACTGTTCTGGCCCACAATAAACATGCAATGGGTACAAGCTAGCATTTCTTTTGTAGAATATTTTTCAGGAGGTAAAGTTGCCTTGTGCAGCTTAGTGCATTTGCATCATCCTCTCAAACAGGAATCCTGTTCTAGCCCGAATGCTGCTATGGGTGTTCCTGTGTATTTCTTTTCTGAAATGTCATGAGTATTTCTAGTGCTTCGCCGTACATTAAAAGTCCCAACACCCTGGTGCCTGTGTCTCCATAGGCAGTTCAGTGGCTGTCTTTCCTGTCCTGTCACGGTGTTCTTATCTTCCTTTAAACCCACAGCCTCCTGTACTGGAACAGAAATGTGGAGAGCCACAGTTGTTGCCATGTAATCTCAAAAGAGAAAAGGTGCCCTTTCTTAGTGCTTGTCTGTGAAAAACCAAGTGGCCCAGTTTAGGTATTTGGGCAGAAGCATCCTCTGGGTGGACCCACATACTGATGCAGGGAGTGGGGATACTGGCTTATATCAGTGGCTGGACTTTGAGAGTGCTTTGCTGTCACCTACACTGTCACTGAAAATGGTCTTGAAATTCTTGTGTTGTATTTTGGAGAAATCCAGAATATGCCCACTGACAAATCCCAGAGCACTTGAGGGAAAGTAGGAGAGCTTTCAGAACAGAGGAATAAGGAGAAAAGTCATGAGAAAAGCTCCAGAGGACAGAAACAATAGCCACAGAAGCTGTCCATCAATTGACTGGCTGCCCAGGTTTGGGAAGCATCAAATGTATTCAAGCAGACGGCTGCCACTGGAGGAAGGAGGACAGGCAAAGGCCCAAGGTTTTCAGGAAGGGGATGCTGAGTTGAGAGCAGGCCCCAGCCTGCTCTGAGGCTTTGACACAGTGAAGGCCCCACTGTGATGCCCCCTCAATCTGCATGGGAGGGGTGATAGCCAGGCCCAGCTCTCTCCTCCAGGTGCACTGCACAGGGGAAGCCTAGCACTCTCTAGAATGCCTTGGGTCGAAGTCCGGCCCTACAAGTTGATGCTACCCTATAGCTTTTGGACTGAAAATAATTACTTTGGCACCAACCTTGTTGGTGCTGAACATGCTGAACAAAGATACTACTACTTTGAGAATTTGGGTTTGCAAGGCAGACCCTTACCACAAAATGTTCTTATCCTCGTGCCTTTTGGGAAATCTCACAGCTTAAGAAGAGTACACACAAGATAGGCCCTAGGCTCTGGTGTGCCTCACCTTTATGCATCCTTTTAAATTTTTTTCTTTACAAATGACAAGAAATATAATTTATGTTGTAACTTAGTACACATGTATATATTTCCAAGAGAAAAGAATTACCCTTAATAAACATAATACACTCTTACATTTTCTATTCTAATTTAAGTCATAATCCCAAAATTGAAAAACTCTGCATATATCCTTGTGTTTTTGCATATTGTGTTTTTATTTTCACTGCAATTCTGTAAGGTGGGCAGGGCAGGCTTGTATCCTGATGTGATAGGTGATTTGGCCACACATCTGGAAAATGAAGTTGGTGCTTCCACTACCCAAACCTGCCCAGCACCCAAGGCCTTTTGATGGGGAGCAGAGGCCTACTTGTCCACACCCTCTGAGCCCTCCCATTACTCACTGTTGGTACAGGAGACTCCTGCTGAAAAGCGCCCAGTGCCATGGGAGCAGTGCACAGGCCCATGCCTCTGACACTGCTGCAGGGCCAACTCCGTCCCTGAGCAGTGTACCCCACTCATCACCACTTCGCCAGCCTCTGGTGTCCCCTGCCAGTACCAGGTGTCCTAAGAAAACAGCCAGTACCACCCAGTCAGAGCAGAGAGGTGCCTTAGGAGTCATCTCAAATGCCCATCTGCAGCCTAGACCCCATTACCCGACCCATACAAAGCTAGGCCCTGACTGGACCTGAAAATTGTCATTGATGAGAACCTCTACCTCTGGGACAGTCCAAGTTGCATTTAGACCCATCTGACATTAGAAATTTCTTCCATGTACTGAGGCAAAACCTGCAGCCCATGGCTTCCATTAGGCCCTGCTCCTAGATGGCAGTCCTCCTCTGGGGTCTTAGTGGGCAAGCCTGTCCCTTCCTCCCACTAGGTGGTGTGTTCCTCACAGCCTCAGCATTGTGCTCCAGCTGTGCCTGTTCTCCAGTGAGAGAACAGGTCATAGTGGAAGGCTCCGCTGCAGCCATGTTCAAGACCTCTAGCTTTGTTCCTTTGTATGCAGTGAATCTTCCTTATTTGCTCCAGACTGCCACTGGCTGGGTCCAGTCTTGCATCCGTTTTTATCTGGGCTTCTACAGTAACTAGCCTTCTGAGTGTGTTTCCCTGCATTTGGCTTAGTCACCACCCCAGCTGTTTTCCAGACTGCAAAGGAAGAGAGCTTTTACGCCTCTGGATTAGAGCTTGTGAAAGGTCTTGCCCCTGCCTTTTTCTCCACCCTCAAATGTCACACCAATCTCCTTTGACAGCCTCACTGCAACCATGGGTCCCTGATTTCTTCAACTGATTGAAGCTTTCTTGGGCCATAGGGGCTTTGTGGGGGCTGTTTATTCCTCTACCTCATCTAGCTCACTTCTGTTTGTCTTTCCTACAGATACTCCTATGTATTTTGTATGAACGTTTTACTAATGATAACCTTAGTCACTCAACTGTATGCTCTGCAAGTCAAGGACTATCTTGTTCACCTAGTATCCCAAGCATGGAGCGTTATATCAGCCCAGAATTTCAATTAATTGTTGAATGAATGAATGAATGAAGTGCCAGCATTTCTAGCACAGGAAGTTTTGGTTTTCTCAGTCTAGGAGGCTGAGGGTTATAGGGAAGAAGAAAGACATGGACCTACCTTGATAGCAAAGTTGGCAAAACCTAGGCCGAGCTGTCGGCAGACCACCATGGCCTCACTGAGCTCCCAGTGGTCACTGCACACGGTCCCCCAGCGTCGGACCCCATTCACCTCCACTTGCACCTCCACCACGCCCTCCTCGCGGCTTCTCCCACCTGCCAAGCGCACCTACGGTGGTCAGAGTTGTGTGAGGGTCATGGTACTTGAGGTGGGAAGAACTCAAGGCTGCAGGCCTAGAGACCCGCCAGACAGCTCACAGTGTGGTGCTAGACACACTCCCCATCTTTGGGCTGTCTGCTCTGTAAACTGATAAACTAGACAATCCTGAATGGCCCAACTGCTAGAAAAATAGAACTCAAGGTGCCTATGTAGGGCTTCCTGCCCTGGAACTTGCCCTCCTCCAACCTAAAATCCATGACTGATGACTTGCAATTTACAAAGGGCTTTCATGTCTTTCATGACATTTCAGGGCTTCACAATGACTTATGAGAGAATTAATCCTACTGTCCCCACCAGGACTGTCCCCAGAACCTTAGCATCCCATCCTACACAGCATCTTGTGCCACTCCCCAATGCTGACAACCTGTGGCCCTCACCCTAGGAATGTTCTTTGAGTGCCTGGGGGAGTGTGTGCACTTTCAGAGCACCTCTATGTCCGTGTGATATCTGAGCTCCAGGGGTAGGTGGACCTCATGGCAGGGGTACTAAACCCCCTCTCCTGAGCCCCTCCCTGCTGGACATGCTCAGACTTGAGCTCACCTGATTCTGGAAGCCCATATCTGGAATGTTGCACCTGACTGCAGCATCATTCTCATGTTGACAGCCATGCTGGGGCCGTTCCAGGGCGAGGCAGTCACTGAAGGTCTGCTCATAGCCCCTGCAGTGCACTTCACTCAGGTGGATGGGCCCCAGGCCTGGGGAAGAGGTGCTGTGTGAGTGGAATTCCACCTCTGCCCCCACTGAGACCTGACCTCCACAGATGGCTAGAACTCATGGCTACCACTAAGAGCCCATGGCATACCCAGTCCTCCTCATCTCACCCCGGCTCCTTCACTCACCTTGGCCCAGCTGGGCCCCAAACAGGGCCTCTCGTGCAGAGCCAAAGCCAAGCTGACGACATACGACGCTGGCAGAGATGAGGTTCCAGCGGTGGTCACAGATGGTGCCCCACTGGCGGTTCACAAGCACTTCCACCCGGCCCTCACCCACCTGGGCCCCAGAGCGCAGGCGCAGCTTCAGCTCCTGTTGGGAGGAAGGGGCATCAGGGAGGTGAGCCAGAGAGGCTGCATCACCACAGAGGGACCCAGGGCAGGGTTCTTCTAGCTGCCTGTGGAACCTTGATCTGCCTCTGACTTCTCATCACTATCGCCTTGAATAAACAGCATTTCTCAACTTCACTTCTCCAGTGGGGAATCCTTGCCTCTGACTCTTGGTTTTGCTATCACCCATCCGTCTCTGTGCAGCTTGTATGGAAGGGAGCTGCCCTGGCTCAGAACTCACGGTCTTGCAGCAGAAACCCTCCCCTGTCTCTACACAGCCAGCCAGCTCTCCTGGAACTGGCGACATACTGGCCAAGACCTCCTCACAGAAACACATTCAGTGTTGTGCTAGTACCACTAAATACTTGCTCATCTACTTTCTGTAACAAAGGGTTTAATGCCTCCAACCCTAGTGGCTGTAGCTGCTATTCACTGTTTTTATGGTTACCGTCTATTCATGGCAAGTGGTATCAACTTTCATTTACAGTAGGGTTATAGATGATTCCTTTGAAATAAACCCCAGGTCTCTACCATTCTATGATTTGTCTCCTTTGCCCGGTCTGGTTCCTCTCTCCTCTCCCCACAGGGTAGGGTCCTGCTGAGAGGGGACCTGGGCCTCCAGGTTGTGGTTCAAGCCCCGTGGTGCTCACCACTGCCCGGGGTTCCTTGTGTTGGGGCTTCCCCTTTGGTGAGTAAAAGCGGGGCCCTGGCACACAGCTGACTACAGCGTGCATGCCACCTGGGCAGGCTGGCCTCAGTTTGCCTTGTCCAGGAGCCACCTGCACCTGGCAGTTGGCCAGGTGGGGCTCCGTCCCCAGACAGTTGACCCGGTGGATCCAGAAGGAGTTCTTATTCACCAAGTTTTTCAACCTGGAAGACAAGGGAAATTCTGAGCAGAGGAGGCTATGGGAGGCCAAGAGAGGACAGGGGTGGGAGAAGAAGGAGGCCCTTCGTGTCACACCTCTGTTTACCCTCCCCCAGGATGCTGCTCCTCACCTAGACTTGGGATCCTTCATCTTCAAATTCCAGACTTTCCTGTGGTTGGAGAAAAGAGATGGGGGTGAGGAGGAGGGGGATACAGAATCCCACTGCTAGGTTGTTCCTCAGAGTTGCCCTTAAATTTTCCCTGGACTTCATGGTCTTCAAACTCACTCACAAATCTTATTTCACTGCTGAGCTTCACAGCGGCCCTGATAAGGTGGTCACTCCACAAGTAATGGTGATCTCCATGTAACAGGGAAAGCAAGCAAGTTCCCCTGGCTTTTTCTAAAGTCAATCCTCTACTATACTGGAGCTGACCATGGAACAGGCAGCTCAAACTCACCCTCTCTTGGTCCTGATGAAAGGTAGCCTTGTGGGAACACCCTGAGGGAGAGGACCTGGGGAAAGGTCCTCTGTGGAAGATGAAGGCCTTGCTGGGGTTGGGGTGCTGCTATCCAGAGACATCCAAGCTATAATCAGAGCTGCCTTCCTCATGGGTGGCAAGTGAGTCAGCAGGGCCCACAGTGCAATTACCAGGCAGCAGGGAGCCTGGGACTCACATCCTCAGCACCCCCACGGATGGAGCCACTCTTAAGGCAAGTGACATATAAGCCAGAAATACAAGAAATTTGCAATTGCATCAGTGCCATGTGATGAACTGACCAGAATAGATGACTGGAGGTGTTGGGGGAGATCTTTCTCTCCATGAAAAACACAGACAGGTTTCATGGTCGTGGAGGCAGTGGGACTGCTATTGTGGTCCTTGTACTGGGTGATGCAGTCTGCTGCGATAGCTCACATAACTGACAGAATACTTCTATGTCTCCTCCCATAAAACTGGCCCCACCCCACGCCTCAATTACATGCAAGCTAATCAGCTTGGCTTGGATCCTACTTGAGGAAATTCACTGCAAAGTTGAGATAATTCATAGTGAAATGGATAACTTGATGCCCAGATTCATGACTCCAAACCCCAAGCTAGTGACTGGTACAGCTGAAACCAGAATGCACTTTTTCTGTACTCATGGGCAACAGTGTACACCTCATTAGTAAAATCTATCTTTCAATCAAGGATATAAAGTTTTGCACTCAACTGTTGTCGCTGCTGGACATTCTATAGCAGTCAGTGCTTTCCATGTGAATGTCAAATCAGAACCTATTTTCTGACCACTTCTAGGTGTCCCTCAGGACTTTGAAGCTCATCCTCATGTGCTCCTAACTCTTCTGAGAGATCAGTGACCCAAGAACCCCAGACACTTTCCTCAGTTGGGCTAGGTCCCTTCTGATGCAGGCATCCTGCCGTGGACAGTCTCCCCATCTGTCCTCCAGCGGTCACAGAGCCCTGAAAGTTTCCCCCCACACTCACTACTCACATATACACACACACTCTCACTCCTCACACTTGTGTACACATTACTCACATACTGAGACATCGTGTGTGTGTGTACACTCATGGATACCTCCCTCCCTCCCCACTCCCTGTCCCTCTCTGTCTGTCTGTGTCTCTCCCCCAACCCTATAGCTCCAGGATCCCACCATTCGCCTACCTGTAGTAATAGCTGTTGACAGGCACTTGGCTGGGGAAACCCAGCATCCCGCACACCACTCTGCTGTTGTTCATGGTCCAGCCCTGGTCACACACTTGTCGCCAGTGGCCCTCATATCGTACCTCCACGACACCCTCAATCACTGGGCTGTGCCGCTTGGCGCTGGCAAGGACAGGTTTGAGCCGCACTTCCTCCAGCCGCCGGCCCTGCAGTGTGCACAGTCACCATGGGCCTTGTCCCCAGTGTCTTGTGGGGCGCTGTAGGTCTTCATCAGGAAAGGCCCTGGCTCAGAGCTCTTACAGAGCTCCTGGGTCTCGCACTGCTAAGGCCTGGAACCCAAGCCCCAGAGAGCAGAAGGCATTCACTAAAGCTCACAGAGTAAGCAGGGGGCAGAACCTTTTTGTCCAGGCTTTTTGCCTCATCTCCTTATTAAACTGGAGAGAAAGAGGCAGATCTGTGCCCTCCTTGCCTTCAGGACAGGAGCTCTCGGGGTTTGAGAGTCTTCTTCTAGATGTGGGGGGGCCTTCTTCATGGCACCCTGGGGACAGCTGATACAGGCACAGAAAAGCTGTTTGAGACCACCAGCAGGATTCTTTGTCCCGCAAGACCTGCCATCCCAGCCCTGGGTGACTTAGATCCAGGGAGCCCCCTTGGTGGCCTGTTACACTCAGTGGGATAGGGCCAGCTGTCCTCAGACAGAAGCTACCCAGCAGCAGAGAGTGGTAGTCCAAGCCTTTCCCTGCCCACTCCTGTTGTTTGGTTTGGGCTGTTTTTAGCCGAAGGTTGTTTGTGCTGGGAAGAGGCAGCAATTGTGGCCAGGCCTGTGGATGAAGCAGCCTCCTTCCCCCTCTGCACTTGCCTTATGGGGAACAGTTTCTATGACTCATGGCATGCCTGGCCTCTGACCCCTGGCCTGCCCTCCACCAAACTGGGGCCCTCTCTCTCTCTGTGCACCTGCTCCGGGCTGGAGCCCAGGGCTGCTGCTCAGCCCAAGCTTGGTCCTTGTTCGCCTCCTCCAAATTCATTATCCAAGAGGATCTCTCCACCATGCAATGCTCAGCTCAGGCCAGAACCAGCCTCCTCACCAGGGGCCCAAGGGCATTGGAGACCCTCTCCGAGAGGAAGCCACGCTGGCGCTGGGGGTGGCACACCACTCCAACATCTTCTGAGTGGCTGCAATCACTGACACCCCAACCATTAGACTTGCACTGGTCCAGAGTACTCTCGGTGCCCAGACAGCGTACATTGTCCAGCCAGATGGGCCCTATGGAGGAAGGGATGGGCGATGCTCAGGAATGGACACAGCAAGGCAGGCCACAGCTCTGCTCTTGAATAGGATCTCACTTATCAGTCTCCTCTAAGTGCTGAGTGGAAAGTAGGGGGAAGAGAGGAATTGATCCTTCAGGGGTTTTAGTATCCACCGTCCTGCCCACCGCTTCCTTCTGGTGTCAGGTCCTTGGAGTTGGTTTTTGGAAAACTGCAGGTAGGTCTGTGAACTAGATATGCACGTTCACTCATCCATCCATTCAGTGTGTCCTAAGTACCTACTGTGTCACTCACTACATCCATGGAACTTAAAAATAATTCACTTATGGTGATGTGGTGGCCCCATTATAAGAGAGAATGGGAGGGTCAGAATGGGGTACTCTATAGCTAGGGCACTCAGGAAGGCTGTTATGAGGGAGGTCATCTGAGCTAGCATTAAGGGGTGGTGGGCTTTGGCATGTTCCGTTTGTGCTTCAGTTGGCCCGCCCCCTCCCCGCCAGAAGACCGCCTCATCTTGCGTCCTGCGGAGCAGCAGCATCACTCACCCTCCCCTTGGCCATACTTGGCACTGTGGGCCCAGGTCAAGGCAGACTCAAAGCCCAGCTGGCGGCAGGCTACCGTGGCCTCCTGGAGAGTGAAGTCATCATCGCACACGGTGCCCCACTGGCCCTGGTGTAAGACCTCCAGGCGGCCTTCCTCTGGCCTGCTTGCTGGACCCACCAGACGGAGCTTCTTGGTGCCTGGTGCCTGTGAGCTGTGGAGAGGAGCCTGGCCTAGCAGCAGCAGGAACAGAAAGAGGGTGGCTGGGGGGGACCACGTCATGATGACATCAAGGGCACCTGGAAATAAGTAAACAGTAGTCACCAACTTTATTCCTGACCTTAAGTTTGTCAGCAATGCACAGGAAAGAAGAGGAAAAGGGGCTTATGCTTCAAGAAATGGGGGAGCCCTCAGGGGCATCCTTAAGTCAGGAATATCTACCCCAGGGTTATTGCCCTTTCCTACCTTCTGATGTCCCAGAACCCTAAGCAAAAGTGTAAAATGCTACCTTCACACACAAGGCACATGGAATGCTGGGATGGAAAGAGTTATTAAGGAATCAAGGTCTTTCCCACTGATTTGTTATATGGCTTGGCCAAGTCTATTAAACTCTGGTGGTCCTAATTTCTAATTTCTAAATTGAAGAGGCCAAGACAAATATGGTCTAGTATCTCCAGGTTGGATGGCCTGTAACAGCCCCAGGTCTATCTAGGTGTAAGCTTCATGCCTTAATGTAACAAGCACCTTTGAAGTACTGTACTTGCTTCTAGTCAGTTCTTAGGCGGTGTGCTGTGACACAGAAAGGAATACCTCAAATACCGCCTCTATGCTCACAATGCAGAGAAGAGAAATCAGGGGAGACTTTCAAAGAAGGAACTCTTAACCTAGGCCTTGTTGGATGAGTAAGAGTTTGCCTGGGTGGGTAAAGGGGAATTATAGGTAGAGAGAAACAGATAGTAAAGGAGGGAAGAGAGAGAGGCAAATTTGTGCAGAGCAGTGAGTGCTCACCTTTTGGCCCTGCCACAGCATTACAGTCTTGGAAGGGAGAGAGAGAGCAAACTGGCCTAGGTTGGCAAAGGCTGTCTGTAACATGCACACGCCTCTGGATGACAGGCCTGGTGAGCTCATCACATTGTGACTGGTAAAGCTGCCAGAGACCTCTGGAGCCACCATTCCTGATGTCCCTCCAGCCCAGCTCTATGCTGATAGGGAGCTGAGGCTCCCTGGAAAAGTGACTGAAGGTTGGGTCCCAGGTTCCCTACCCAAGTGCTTGTGCCTTTGAAAGCTGACTGTGAGAGCCTCTTTCCGCAGCCACGAGAATCACTCAACACTCACTCAGAGGGCCTCAGGTCCCTGCCTCTCTTGTCCCCACAGCTGGTACCAGTTAAGAGTCACTTGTTAATCCTCTGATACCCAACAGAGGACTGGGACTAGAAGTGTACCAGATGGGCTCAAGGAATGATGTTCTACTGGAGCAGTAACTTTGTGTTGTGCCTCCAGTGCCCAGAATAGTGCCAGGTATGGGTATCACTCAGAAATATCCACAGCTGCATGGGTTGAAGGTGCTACATCACAGTACTTGAGTATGGTCTAGGCAGTTGGACTGCCTAGTTTCAAATTTTACTTCCCGAATTAGTGTGTAGGTGATGTGGGGGCTAACTTGTCATGGTTCTAGTGTGCCCTTCTATAAACTGGAATAACAATGGTATGTACTGCATAGGATTATTGTGAAGACTGATGATTGAATACGTGCTAAGCCTTTATAAGAGCAAGCTCTTGATAACAGAATATTATTGTCATTGTAACAGCTGCAACAGAACCATTGGATTCCATCAGTATCACACCTCCCCCCTTTTTTGTACAAAGAAGGAAATTGAGACCACATCTTCTCTTAGCTGCCAGGGCCTTGGTACCCTTATCTGCCACATTCTCCAGGTCTACCTATCCCCTCGATTCACACTGCCGAGGCCAGATCGCCATCCCTTTCCTGGATGGCTATCATTAATAGAGTGCTCCCACTGTTTCCCAAATCCCCTTCCCCTCCCTGGAGCTCCCCTGAGGAGTAGACACCAGGAATGAGCCACACCAAAGTCGATACTTGAGGAAATATTCTCGAGGTGACAAGACCACCAATTCAACCCTACAGAAAGTATTGCAGGATATTCTAAAAAAACAAAAATACAAAGAACCCAGAAATAGGGGCGGGGAGGCCACAACGAATGGAGCAGAGAACAAAATGAAGAAGAAGACAAACTGACAGCTACTGACAGAAAAAGAGCTCAACAGAAATGAGACAGAAGATTGGATGATAGGAACAGCTTTTTTTTGGAGAAAATGACATTTTAATAGGTAATGCTGATTTAGTACCATCTTGTTTTGAAGTCTCATCTAGCTTTTGTTCTTCTGTCTCCAATGGTCTAAACAGGTTGTATCTTATTGGATTTTGTTATGTACGATAGTATAAGGAAAAACCTTTTAAAGACAAGGAGATTATACAGAGACCATTGTTCATTTTCTGTTAGTCGATTCTAAATGCTCTATAATGCTGTCATTCTCTTAAATGGATTCACATTGTTTTGATATACTTAATGCTACAGTATATGAAGTTGTACTCAAGGACTTCAGGGAGGGAGTCAATATGGTAACTATTTTTGGGGTCAGGATTAGCTGGTGGGGAAACACTATTCTGCTTAAATGGTTATGTTTTGATCTGCCCTGTTTCGCTGTTATGCCCTCCTTTTTCTCAATCTCCACTCCATTATTTACTTTTTTATTTTTATCCACTTAATTAAAGGGAAAAATATAGCAGGATATAATATAGTAACCCACTTTGACTTTCTATTATCTCGATTTGAAGCCCTGTATTACTCTCACCATCTTGCTTTTGACTAAGGTTCCTCTATTCTGTTTTGCTGGATAGTATCAGGTTCGAAAGTTTAGGTATCAGCTGAGAAGATAATGAGATTCATTATAACGCCCATTCTCGTTGACTTTTATCTACTTTTGAAGACCTACAATATCTCCAATGTTTTGGTTTTGTCGGTTTTATTCTTTACGGTTTTGTTCAATTGTATTACAACTAATGATATAGGCAATTCTATTAGAAATAGCAGGAGGCATTATGGTAACCATTGTTGATCACCTTGTATTATGTTTTTATATTATCTATTATGTCCACCCTTTTGACTTGACCGATTCTGTTCTGTTATGTCACATTTGGTTTTACTCTCTTCCAAAAAAGCAACAAGAACCGTGGGAGCAATGAAACCCAGAATGTGTAATAGTCACTGTACAAAAGAGAGGAAAAGAAAGTGCTCTAAACTATATAACTGCATGTATATTTAAATGTATAAGATAGAAAATGATAGCACAGAGTTTTATTGGATCATTGAACAGAACTGTTTGCAGTATCATTGTTGGAATGTCCACTCTACAATGCTTTAATTTTGTGACTTAATTATTTCTAAGATGGCAATATGTAATCCATTAACTAGTGATCTCCTACTGCGCATTTTTTTATTCTGTAAATCTGTATAACTTGTACCCCTTCACTGTTTTTTTTGCTTTCTTTTCTTTTCTCCTTAAATAAAAATTAATAAAAAAAATAAATAAAAAAAAAAAAATAAAACAAAGTGAGTGCAAGGCCATCCTATATTGCATAGTGAAACCCTGTCTCAAAAAGACAAAAAAACAAAATAAAATAAAGTAAGTTTTCCAAAAAAAAAAAAAAAAAAAAAAAAAGAAGGATTTGGCTCAGGGCTGTCACCATGAGGACCTGCTAGTCACACCAAGTCTGGGCTGAGAGGTAACTTTACCTCCCCACCACCTTCCTGGAGTTCTACCACCAAACTGAAGGTCTAGAGTGGTGAAGGTTTGTCTCTCTGTGGTCCCCAGCTGAGACGCCTGAAAGACGAGGGGTGGGGTTAGGGGTTACATGTTCTAACGGGGCCCAGGATGGCTGGCAGATCTGCTGTTCACCTGGGGATGAAGTGCCCACAGCTTGGGGGAGGTCTTATCAGAGGCTGTGGCCAGTTCCAGGACAGCTGGCTGGCTGTGTAGAGACAGGGGAGGGTTTCTGCTGCAAGACCGGGAGTTCTGAGCCAGGGCAGCTCCCTTCCATACAAGCTGCGCAGAGACGGATGGGTGATAGCAAAACCAAGAGTCAGAGGCAAGGACAGCTCGTCTTCTCAGCTCCCTACACACACACACACACACACACACACACACACACACACACACACACACGTACACACACATGTACACACACATACGCGCACACACACGCACACACACCATTGCAGGGCCTTGTAGCTCTTGCTCACACTACATTTGCCTTCTCACGATTTCCTGCACTTGGCCTTCATTTTCTAGCCTCAAGGCATTGCCTTCACTGCTCCTACTTGCGTGGCCTTTCTTTCCCTCTATTTCAGGTTATCAGATTCCCACACACACTTCAACATTCAGCTCAAATGCTACTTCTCTCACTGAGCTCCCCCATTTTGCTAGCACTTTGTGTGTCTGCCTCCTAATTGCACAGCCAGCCCTCAGCTGTCTGGTCCCCCAGATGAGCACAGAGAAGAGGAAGAGGACTAGCCTAGCGTCGGCCCTCAGAGAGGGAGGCAGCCTCCACAGTGGTTCTTTTCCAAGTGAAGGAAACAGACAGGGAAAGAAGGCAAAGGAGGTGCGAAGATAAGGAAGAAGAAAGCTGAACATTTAAAAATATTTATTTAATATTTATCTCCATTTCACAGATGAAAAGATGAGGCCCCTGAGTACAGTAACGTGCCCAGCAGGTAGCTGGACTCAAAGCTACCTTCAAGTGGACTCGAAGCCAGGCTCTCCACACGGCCAGCGTTGGATGTTAGAAAGGAAGAGGGAAGGGCAACAGGGAGCTGAATGGACTGCGACCTGTTGCTGGTTGATTTATGACCTGGGCTGTATTTAGTATGGTAAAGAGCACCCCAGTGGGCACCAGCACTGAGTGCCAACAAGTGACAGCCCAGGACCTTGTGGTTCCAGGCAGAGACACCTGCTCCAGGTGTTGCCAGGGAACACTGGCACCTGGCCTGACCTAGCCGGGGAAGAGCAGTCTGGATGGCAAATGCCTAAGGGTAGCGGAGAGAGTAAGAGCACAGAGTACCGTCCTGTGACACCAGCTCTGGGGTCAATCCCAGCCCCACCTCTGTGGCTCTCTAGGAGCTAGGCTTCCTCTCTAAACCTGCACCCTCCCTGGGAGCATGGCTGTGTGGCCCTGATGCAGTACCAGCCTGGGCACCTGTGGGGCCTGGCAGAGGTGGGGGCTGAAGTCCTCTGCCTCCCTCCTGCTTTCCGGTTCCCTCTGGCCCCAGCATCGTCAGCTCTGAACTGGTTCCTTGGAGAGTCCAACTCTGCCTTGGCTCTTCTCCAAGTCTGGGGAGTGAATTTGAACCCAGCTTGCCCAATCCCCTCCCTGCTGCCTGGGTCAGAAGGCAGAGAAATGGTTACACACAGCGTTCACAAATCAGACACGCAGGCACCCTGGGGCGAGGCGCAACACCCACGAGGGCCTCTGGCCAACCTCCCCAACTTGGTCAGGGTCCCACTGGGAAAAAGACTGTGAGCAAGCACCTCGGGGCTAAGATCCACCGTCCTTGGGACCCCATCCTTCCTGGTTCCCAGCCTCCAGGAACCCCTACAAGCCTGTAGATCCAGAGAGGCAGTAAGAAACGCAGCAAGCACAGCAAGAGACAGATGCGGGGCGGGGGGCCGGGGCCGGGTCGGGCGGGGGCTCACCAGCGGGGTCTGGCGGTCTCGGAGGGGCCGGGCGAGGCGAGCAGCGCTAGCGGGTTTCCCGGCGCGCCCTGGGGGCTTTTTATGCTCCCTCCGCCCGGCCCCCGCCCGGCCTGCGGGGGGAGTCCGCCGGCCCCGCCCTGCCCCCGCGCCCCGCCCGCCGGCCCTCCGCCAGCCAGCGACTCAGGGCACCGCCCGACCCGGAGGTCCCCAGGGGAAGCGCGAGAGGGACTTGGTGGCGCAGCGTCCCCTGGAGAGGCGGCGGCACGTGCCAGCTTCTCGCAGGCCGTGTCCTGCTGTGCCAAGCGCGGTGATCGTGCCCAGCGCAGAGCTGCGTTCAGAGCCCCAGGAACGGGCCCCTCAGGAGGAGCTGGATCCCAGGAGCCTGTTGCGCAGGACCGCGTGGGAGCCTGCTTAGAAGGTGGGGGCTCAGTGCAAAGGCGATTGGAGTGAGCCCCGCAGCTGTGCTGTTTCTGCACTGCTCTGGTCCCCAGAGTTTACTGACTGCTGCCTGGGGGCGAAGCTCTGTTCTTCCCATTTGCAGTTGGGAACACTTGGCCCCAGGAGACCCGACTTGCTTCCCCAGGTGATACACAGTGAATGACAGAATTTAAATTCTCCATTATACCTTTATATAAGGTTGCATGAGGCGGTCCAGGACTTGTCAGGCTAAGGACCGAGGGTGTGGAGGAGCATGCGGGGAGAGGGTGGGAGGCAAAATGAAACGTGGAAACTGAGAGAGGAGCTGAGAGAGAAGTCCCACCTGCTCAAAGAGCACCCAACTCCTGGAGTCCAAACTAGTCCAGCACCAGTGTCCAGTTTCCTTCCCATAGTCCTGGTCCCTCTCAGTGCCAACACCCACCCTGCCCCATCTGTAAAACTGGTAGTGGGTTGCAGGCGCCTAGTTTGCTCTCTGGGCCCAGAACATTTTTGCCTGGATCTCCCTCTGGTCCCCATGGTCCCTTAGGGTCCTCCTAAAGGCTCATTCTATAAATTGGCAAAGCTTTATTGATTTTCTCCTATGTGCAGGACAGGGCGCTGGAGTGCTGGATGTTGGAGAGAGATGGGCTCCAAGTTCGTGGAGGGAGAGACAGGCCATGTGATAAATACCAGATGGCAAGGTGGACCTTGGTGACTGGTCTGCTGGGGGCCATCCATCCATCCCTGGGTGCCCGTGTCTAAGATGTCCCCACAGCGCCCCCGCCCCACCCCTGCTTGGTTCCACATTCCCAGTGATGAATCAACAGGAAAGAATGCTTGCAGCCTCGGGTCAGTGGTAGCAGCAGCAGCCCCATTCCTCCCTTGGGGACAATGAGGCAGCTGTGGACTGAGGTGCCAGGTATTCCAGGACCCCTCCCGGTGCCCAGTCACCTCTCATGCTGAGCCAGGAGCAACACGAAGGGCTGCTGCCAGTCACCCACCCAGGCTTGGCCGCCCAGATCTAAAAATACCCTGGAGAGGGTCTGGCACCAGGTAGAGCCCAGGAGATGAATGGATTTTGTCCGGAACTCCTTTAACTTGTAAGACTGCAAGGAAGCCAGGGCTGGGGAGTGGTGGGGGAAATCCCCAAGGGGTTGCTGTGAGCCCTCTTCTTCCAGAAGTGAGGGCTTGACCCTGGGCCCAGTCCCACGACCTAGTGGCTAGATATTGTCAGTCCCCATCTCCTAGGCCTTTAATGCTGTTGTGGGGGTTAGGGGTTCAATCAGAGCACCTCAGTTCATCTCAACCAACTTAGATTGGGTGGAGACTTCCTTTTCCTCCCTGTGCTGACCATGCACACACAGCTTCTGCCCAGCGCCTGTGACCCTCTACTGCATTTTTTATATGCAGGTCTATGTCCCTTGACCTCCTGATTTATCCCTAAACCCAGATTCCCTCACAGGGCCCAGCACGTAGAAAGCAGTAAGTGCTCATGGATTGAATAAATGGACGTAGTGTGTGCTGGGCCGTGGTCTGGTCCTGAGGAGGCACAGATAAGCCAAATGTAATCTTGTCTGATTCTCAAGGAGTTCACAGACTAAAGGGGAGACAAACACAAACCACCATTAGGAGAAGGTATATGGCCGTTGTCAGACAAGTACAGAGCAGTTGCTCTGTATGTTCTCTCCTTTGATTTTCACGAAACCCCCTTAGATCACAGGTAATAAAGTAAGTGCACAAGGGTGAAGCGATTTCACCAACGTCGCAGCTGTTACCTGCAGAGGGCAGTTTATATAAACTGGGGCAGAAACACAGGACTGTGAATGTGCAGAAGGGTGGGAAAACAGGATTGAAAGCCTTACAGTGGAAGTCCTGTGAGCCTGGAAGGATGCATCTGATGCCTAGGGCAGGGAGTGGGAGGTGGGTGGTCAGGAACAGTGCTTTTCAGTGCTTTGGAAGCTCTGGAGCACTGTGCTAATGTTAGGAATGATCAGAGCTCCGCTCATCCTTCAGCTGGGCTCCAAGGACTGGGCTTTGAGCACCACCATCTATCTAGCCCTGCCCAGGGGGAGGTGCTAACATGAATCTCTTCACCACAGGGTACTCTTCAAGTTCACCCACCCACATCAGGGCCTGTGTTTCCTTTCTAAGTGGAAAGGCCAGAACACTCTGAGGAAACCTCTCCTGCAGTGGACCTGACAGAGTAGCCAGTGTCTTGGTCTGTGGCAAGCCTCCGCCTCAGCAATCATGAGGACCACTTGAGATCCCCTCCTTTGAGATTTATAGAGAGGAAGTTGTATAGGTTGGACAGCAGGTATGGCTTGAGTTCCAGCTCTAACCAAACCTTATGGCCTCGGGCCACCAAGCCAAGGTGTTGCCTCCTGCATCTCTTCATCCTGCCCTTCTGACACCCAGTGCCTTATGCCTGTGCTGTGCTTTCTTTCTTCCCTGACTTGCTGGATGGCTTATTTAGACCATGAACAGACTAATCTTCTTAAAGTGTTGTCATGCCCTACTTAACTCAAGAATCACTGCTGCCCACAGGTTATGGAGTATGCACATTTTCTTTTCCTGTTGCCTCTATTCGGAGCTCCTTATCTTTTCTGACTTAATTTTTCATATGTTGTTTATCCTGACCTGAGTTTCCAGCTCCTCTATGGGTCCTTCTGTGAAAGCTTCTTGCATGAATGCTCACCAAGTAGAAGGTACTAGAAGAGTCACAGAACTAAACCAGCCATAACTTTGCCCTCCAGGAGCTCACTGGTGGGAGGGATGGCTCAAAGTTGCATACAGCTGTATAAAGGGTAGACTGCTAACATAAAGTGAGACGAAGGGGCACACAAGTGTTTTTGGAAGGATAGATTTTTCCTTTGTGGAGAACGGGTGAGCTGGTGCATGGTTTTCATCCAGAAGTTGAGGGGACTTGGAGACATGGTAGGGGGTAGAGTGAGGCAGAAGGTCCTAGCAAGACGGCAAGGCTAGCTCTGGAGATGGCCCCTGAGGAGAAAAGATGGGAGTGGTCGTGGATCTGGCTGTAGGAGAGAAAGTCAGGGGGAGAGTACCAGTGGTTACACAAACATTTAACAAGTCTTACTTTATGATAGGTAATGTGACTTTTCCCCTCTTCCTCTGGGAAAACTTTAGAAAAACCTTCAGCACTCGTTTGTGCTTAGAGTTGGATAGTCTCACCCCACAGTGCAAGCACCACAGAACTTCAAAACAAGACAATAGGAAATCAACGGGCTTCTATAATGTCTCTTGTTTACTTTGAAATATTTATCCATATCTTCATGCACAATGAATTCTAACAAAACAAAATAGTATAAAACCAGTGGAAAAAAAAGAGTGAAAGCATTACAGGCCTTCAAAACCAGACAATAGAAAATCAACAGTGGCTACCATAATATCTCTTGTTCTCTTCAAAATAACTGTCTATACCCATATTGAAATCAAATAATAGAAAACAGACTAAAACCAATCAAAACAAAGAATAAAAGCATTACTGGACTTCACAACAAGATGATAGGAAATCTGCAAAGGCTATGATAATGTCTCATTTTCTTCAAAGTAGCTGTTGATACTGTCACACATAATAAAATCAGTTCCTATAAACTCTTTAGGAGAGGTTCTAGACATGTATAAGCCTATGCATGTACTTCTATCCTTTCTGTATTAGAGGGAAAGTCAAAACAAAACAAAACAGATCACAAGAAAAACAAGAAACAAATAAATGTATAAAGCAAAGAGCCCATAGCAATGACAATATAGGCTTTTAAAACAAGGTGGTAGGAACATAACTAAGGTTGTTATTTTGCACAGTTATCTTCAAAAGAGTTACTCAAATTACAGATATAAACATACAAAATTGATCTAATCCTATGAATGTTAACTATTTTGTTCCAAGAACTAATAGAATTAGTAGTACAATCTTCTTAGCTATCTTAAGTGTATATATACACAAATTTATATCTTTTTTCTTTTCTCTTCCTTCTTTTCTCCTTTTCTCTGAGTTATTTTTCCCCTTTGAGCAGTTTCTTACCCTTTCACAATATTCACTGAAGACTTTGTATCTTGTTTGCTCTTTCAGTTTCTTATACTAGGGAAACAATACAATATTTATGAGTTTGATTTATTTCATTTATGAATATGGTCTCAAATTACATCATTTACTTATAAAAGCCTCAATGTGATCCTTCTTTATAGTTGAGTAGTACTCCATTGTATAAAAATACCATATCATTTTATCCATTCCTCAGTTGATGGACATTTAGGTTGTTTCAAGATCTGGCTATTACAAATTGTGCTGCTATAAACATAGGTGCACATATATCACTGTGGTATGATGTTTTCAGTTCTTCTGGGAATATGCCCAGAAAGTGGAATAGCTGGGTCAAATGGGACTTCTAATCCCAGCTTTTTGAGGACCCTCCAGACAGATTTCCACAATGATTGCCCTGGTCTATACTCCCACCAACAGTGCAGAAGAGTTCTTTTTCCCTCACAACCTCTCTAACATTTCTTGTTGGTAGTTTTCTTGATCCTGGCTATTCTTTCTGGAGTGAGATGCAATCTCAGTGTTGTTTTAATTTGCATTTCTCTAATAACTAATGATGTTGAACATTTTTTTATGTGTTTATTTGCCATTTGTATTTCTTCAGCTGAGAAGTATGTATTCATCTCAGATGCCCAT